CAAGCTGAAAAACAATCTGGTCTTGGTACATATCTGTTGACAAGAGACATGTATAGAGAAAGATTGTGAAGCCTCTCAGATATAGAGACAAGGATGCAGCAGCCTTTGCTCTAAGTATTGCTGAATTAATAAGTTCCGAAGAACCTCAGAACTATCAAGAAGCAATGAGAAGCAAAGATAAGAAGAAGTGGGAAGGTGCTGCTGATGAAGAGATAGATTCTCTCATGAGGAATCATAATTGGGATCTGGAGAAGAAGACAAAGAATCAGAAAGTCATCGGATGCAAGTGGGTGTTGAAACTGAAACCTGGAATACCAGGAGTTGAGAAGCCAAGGCACAAAGCAAGATTGGTGGCTAAGGGTTACTCTAAAAGGGAGGGTATCGACTATAATGAGATCTTCACTCTTGTTGTGAAACACGTTTCTATAAGGTTCATGTTATCAATAACAGTGAATCTTGACTTGGAACTAGAACAGCTTGACGTGAAGACGGCCTTTCTTCATGGTGATATCGAAGAGGATATCTACATGAGTCAGCCTGAAGGTTATGAAGTCAAGGATAAAGAGGATTACGTGTGTCACTTGAGAAAATCTTTGTACGTGTTAAAACAGGCACCAAGGCAGTGGAACAAGTGCTTCAATCAGTTCATGATAATGAATAAATTCAAGAGGAGTAAGCAGGACACTTGCATATACTTCAGAGAGTATGAGAAAGATAGCTACATATACTTACTGCTGTATGTCGATGACATGCTTCTGGCCGCAAAGAGCATGGTCGAGATTCGGTAGCTGAAGGATATGTTGAGTAGCAGGTTTGAGATGAAAGATCTTGGTCCAGCAAAGATGATACTTGGCATGGATATAGAAAGAGATCGAGAAGGTGGAGTTCTCACACTATCTCAATCCAGCTACATCAAGAAGATTCTTCAAGTGTTCAGAATGGATGAAGCTAAGTCAGTTTCGACACCTATTGGAGCTCATTTCAAGCTAGCTGCAGTGAAAGAAGAGGAAGAAGGGGCTGGTGAGGTTCCCTACTGCAACGCTGTGGGAAGTATCATGTACGCAATGATAGGGACTAGACCTGATGTTGCTTATGCAACAGGGTTGGTGAGTCGGTTTATGAGTAATCCAGGAACGCTTCATTGGTCTGCAGTTCAGTGGATACTTAGGTACTTGAAGGGTACTCAAGACAAGAAGCTGGTGTTCACGAAGAGTTCAGGGTTTAGAGTCGAAGGTTTTTCAGACTCAGATTTTGCTGCAGACTTAGATCGGAGAAGGTCTATCACGGGTTATGTGTTTACTGCTGGTGGAAACATAGTCAGTTGGAAGTCAAATCTTCAGCAGATTGTGGCTTTGTCAACAACAGAAGCTGAATACATAGCACTTTCAGAAGCTGCTAAAGAAGGAATTTGGCTTAGAAACTTGGCAGAAGAACTTGGGCTCAAGCAGGATGCTACAGACTTATGGTGTGATTCACAAAGCGCCATATGTCTAGCAAAGAATAATGTGTTTCACGAGAGGACGAAGCACATTGCCACGAAGTATCATTTCATCAGAGATGAGATTGAAGACGGGATAGTGAAGGTGCATAAGATTCCGACAGCAAGGAATCCTGCAGACATGCTCACTAAGGTGATTCCTGTCCAGAAGTTTGAGGAGGCTCTGGCCTTACTCAAAGTGACCAGGTGATAGAAAGGTCAAGCTCGGTGGCAACAAGTATCGAACAAGCTCGAAGACGCTATGCATTGATGACAAAGTAGAGATTGTTAAAGTCGGTATGTCATTAAATGCATATTCGTTAAGCTTAGCTAATACCGGTTATAGGATTAGTTAAGCTGGTATAAGTACTGATCGGTAATCAATTGGATATTAGTTAGTTAGCTGGTTAGTATCTGGTTTGTACCGGTTTGAGGAATATAACTCAAAAGGGGTTTAGGACTTGTTCATTATCGGGGATTAGATTGAAACAAAGTGTTTACGAGAGATTGAGAGCAGAGAGGAGAGTGTTTCTGGGTTTCTGTTCTTGAGAGTCTGTAATTGTGTAACTCTTGTTGATCTAGTGGATTGCTTGGTGTCACCGAGCCCCAGACGTAGGATTCTCTCACGAGATCCGAACTGGGTTAACAAATCTTGCGTTCTTCTCTTTCTCTCCTTCATTGATTGATTTCATACTTCTTTGGTTCACGATTGTGTACGATCTGGTGTGCGTTTGAGTTCCGTGTACGAGTCGGTGAAGACTTGTGAGGTGTTGATCGTACCGTTGTTTCACAACACACTTTTTGTTGCAGTTTCACTAGCTATGCTCTCTAAGTTTTATTGCTGCATCTCACTTATTAACACTAGTGGTGTAGAATTTAGAGGATTTCTCTATGTCTCTGGTGCTTTAAATGTTATTTGTGCTTCTATTTTTATTATGTTAGCTTTCTGATTTGCTGTTGTTGTATCAGTTTCTTTTGCCAGTTTGGCTTTGTTATTGCGTTTTGTATATATTTTCTCTATTAATGAAGAATATGTATGTTATAAAATGAGAATATGTATGTTATAAAATGTCTTTGTTAACCAAAAAAAAAATTGACGTTTAATTTTTTTAGAGTTAACTGTGAGGCAATATCAGAATTATGATATGCTACTAACTGAAATTGAAGTGGGGAATGATTACGTCTTTGGAAATTTTGATGAAATATGCGATGATTGTTCATCTACAATTTTTATTTTATTTTATAGATTATATTCATTATGTCTAAGTTGATTTTTTAGTTTTTCTGTACCCATATTTCTTTTTAATTCAGATTATGTAATCATATTATGTTGACAAATATTTTATTAGTAATGCAGCTGTTTTGAAGATTCAATAACGCTTAAATATATGGTCAAAGATCTAAGAATTAAGCAAATAAAAAGATAACATATAAGTTAGTATCTAGCATATGTTCAACTGATGGCAGGAACTCCGTATCTAGCATATGTTCAACTGATGGCAGGAATTACCTTATCATAAATATTAACTTCCGTATACATACATATGTTCAACTGATGGCAGGAACTCCGTATCTCCTGCAAAATGTAGAGTCAAATTTAATATCAGAAAAAAACGTGTCAAAAATAAGCTAATGGGCATCAATCCTTTAAACGCTTAATCTCAACAGTGTAAGGAGATTTCCTGTGACCTTACAATGAACTTCTTAACCCAGAAAAGTGTCAAAATCCAATATTGTAACTCACATTTTATTAGTAATGCATTTGTTTTGAAAATTCAGTAGCTTCTTACTATGTATATTATCTTGGGATAATTAGAAAAATAGAATAGATTTTGAAAGATATTGTCTCATTGATACTTTTTTAGAAAACATTGTCCAAAAATAATACAAAACCTAAATTACTCCTTAAATATTTAAAATATCAAAAAATTTAATTCTTGAAAAACTATTTAGAAGAAATTGAAAAAAAAAAAAAATAAAAAAAAAAATCTATATAGTTGTCACAAAAAACCTTTCTAATAAACATAAAAACCATCAGCCCTCTTCTTCTCCACCACATCCAACTTAAAAACCATCAGCCCTCCGCCGTCCTCATCCTTCGCCAGCCTTCTCTTTCGTCGGCCTCCTCCTCCTCCATCGGTGTCCAATTAAGGACTCTGTGCGAACAGCCGAATTGCATATGTAATCTGTGCAGCGTATACTCCACCATCTTGTAGTAGATTGTATAACCCTGTAGTCAAAGTTATACTTCATTTCACAAATCTCCAGAGTTGCCTTCAAAACATTTTTGCTTTCGAAATGGTGTCCCTTCTTCACACAATCCACCGACCAAAACTGATCTTCCTTTTGATTATCTTCTTTGCTTTTTGACATTACTACATCATCGCCATCAACATCAACATCAGAGTCATCATTCACTTTAGCCACATTCACAAATTTTTCTGATTTTTCAGGCAACTTAACATCGTCTTCTCCAACATTTGAATGAGATGGTTCTTTATTCATATCAATGTTGACTCTACTTTTTCGATTGTCAACTCTAGCTGTAAATATCACACACAACTGTACCGACAAATACTTCTTTGCATATCTAACAAAATTTCTCATTTGTCGATCATTTGTGATAATAACTGGAGGAGATCCTAAGGTACTGATCAAATTGCTAGGTAGATAACTGAACTCGACATAATTAATGCTTTGTTCAATCCCGTAATCCTCTAAAACCATTGTCTTTAGCTCCTCAAGACTAGTGATAGATTCCAAATCAAGTAATATACCTCCTTTTTTTCTTGATCAATGATGAATCTCCACTCCTTGTTCACATTTGATTTCCATACACCACATTTTACATAGATATGCTGCATATTAACTGAACAGAAAACGCAAAGAGGAAAAAATCCTAGAAAAAGAGAGAAAGAAGTCGAGAAAAATAGTGTTGGCGTAAATGAAACAAATTTTTTAAAGCAAATTTTTTCATAAATAAATAATTCTTTGCTTTTATGTATTTTTCCAATATAATCTGATTTTTTTAGATTTTAAAATAATTTATTAAAATTTTGTAATATTTTTGTAAAGGTTATTTAGTCAAAAATTAACAAAAAATTAAAAAAATTTAGTGAGACAATAAATTAGTTTTTTTTTTATCTATTTTCACAAACTTCCCTTAATAATATTTGTCCTTATTAACCACAATAAATGGTTTTTCTCTCTTCTATTCACAAAGTTTCAAAGTCAATCTTTTTTTTCATTTTACAGTTTCTCAGAAATCCAGTCTTTTTTGTAGCCCAATGCATTGCTTGACTTGTGGTAACGAAACTGGTGAGAAAAGACAAATCGTCAACGCGGAGAGAAAATTCAAAGTGATAGTGATATTACTATCCAAGTTGTACGTTAGAAAAATTAAGCAAAACTTAATCCTACCCATATACAAAGACTTCAGTCAGCTCTAACTTATTTATACCAATCTCTTCTCTGTCTCTTTGCTTAAACAAAACTATTCTTCTTCAAAGCTTTCACGCCGACCATGTTGGATTCGCCTCTGCGTTTGCATTTCCTCTCGGTACTCTTACTCTGTTGTGTCTCCCCTTCAAGCTTCGTCGTCATAAGGAATCCTGTTGTTGATCTTGTTGCTTGTCGTCCACGCCAGATTGAAGCCTTTACGCAGTTCAAGAACGAGTTTGATACCCGCCGTTGCAACCACAGTAACACCTACAATGGAGTATGGTGCGATAATTCTACCGGTGTAGTCACGAAGCTACAACTTAGGGCATGCCTCAGTGGAATTCTGAAGCCCAACAGCACACTCTTCAGGTTTCGCCAGCTCCGTCATCTTGATCTCTCTCACAACGACTTCACCTCCTCTTCACTCCCTTCCGAGATTGGCAATCTCAACAAATTAGAGGTTTTATCTCTTTCCTCTAATGGCTTTCTTGGACAAGTTCCTTCCTCATTTAGTAACCTAAGCATGCTTGTCTATTTAGGCCTTTCCTATAATGAGTTCACTGGTAGTTTTCCTTGTACGAAATCTAACAAAGCTCAATGGTTTAGAGCTAGAAAACAATCACTTCTCTGGAACCATCCCTTCTTCTCTCCTCACTTTGCCTTTCTTAGCAATTATTAACTTGAGGGAGAACCATCTCACTGGTTCTATTGAAGCTTCTAACTCCTCTACTTCATCTTGGCTCGAGTTTCTGTACCTTAGGAATAACCATTTTGAAGGAGAAATCCTAGAGCCTATCTCAAAGTTCACCAGCCTCAAAGATCTCGACCTTTCTTTCCAAAACATAAGCTACCCGATTGACTTAACCCTCTTCTCCTCTCTCAAATCTTTGTTGATCCTTGATCTCTCCGGTAATAGTATACTTCCGGCCAGTTTAAAGTCAGATTCAAACATCCCATTGGGCTTGGAAAGCTTGACCATGTCGCTATGCGGCCTCACCGAGTTCCCAAACATCTTAAAGGGCCTTCAGAACTTGGAGTATATAGACATATCCAAAAATAGAATCAAAGGGGAAGTCCCGGAGTGGTTGTGGAAACTTCCTCATCTGAGAACTCTCACCATTTCAAATAATTCATTCAACAGTTTTGAAGGCTCGGCAGAAACTATGGTAAATTCATCGCTGCAGATGTTAGATCTATCATTGAAACAGTTTTAACGGAGCATTTCATACTCCGCCAAACTCTATCAGCATCTTGTCTGCACGGGAGAATAGCTTCACAGGGAACATACCGCTTTCAATATGCAACTGTAGGTTCCTCACGCATCTGACGCTACCTTACAACAACTTGAGCGGTACGATTCCTCAATGTTTGAGTAGCTTGACGGTTCTGAATCTCCGGAAGAACAACTTAGAAGGAATTCTTCCAGACAAGTTCTATGCTGGTGCATCGCTTCATACACTCAACATTGGATACAACCGACTAAGCGGGAAGCTTCCAAGGTCTCTTCTTAACTGCTCCTCTCTACAGTTTCTAAGTGTGGACTACAACAGAATCAAAGATACGTTTCCTTTCTGGCTCAAGGCTTTACCGAATTTGCAAGTCCTTATCCTCCGTTCAAACAAATTCTATGGATCTATATCTCCTCCTCATCAAGGTCCTCTAGGGTTTCCTGAGTTGCGGATACTTGAGATATCTGATAATAAGTTTAATGGAAGCCTGCCACAGAGTTACTTTGTGTACTGGAAAGCGCCATCACTCACTCCGAAGGAAGATGGGAGTTTGTATATGGAATACACTAAGACTGCTTATGGTAAAGTTTACTTCACCTATATAGATAACGTAGACTTGCAATACAAAGGTCTATATATGGAGCAAATGAAAGTCCTCAATTCATACAGCGCCATCGATTTCTCTGGAAACAGAATTGGAGGAGAGATTCCTGAATCTATTGGTCTCTTGAAAGCACTGATTGCACTCAACTTATCAAATAACGCCTTCACAGGCCATATTCCATCTTCTTTAGCCAACGTTTCAGAGCTAGAGTCACTTGACCTCTCAAGAAACCAACTCTCTGGGACGATTCCTAATGGACTCAAGAGCCTCTCGTTTTTGGCGTTCCTAAATGTGTCTCATAACCAACTCAAAGGTGAAATCCCACAAGGACCGCAGATTACTGGACAATCTAAATCCTCATTTGAAGGGAACGCAGGGCTTTGTGGTCTTCCTCTCGAGGAAAGTTGCTTTGGGACTAATTCACCACCAACACAACATCCTAAGGAAGAAGACGAAGAAGAGGAAGAAGTGCTGAACTGGAAAGGAGTGGTGATAGGGTGTGGGCCTGGAGTGTTGCTTGGATTGGCAATAGCACAAGTCATTGCTTCATACAAACCAGAGTGGCTTATGAAGATAATTGGTTCGTAATAAACGCAGAAACAGTCAAGACTGTTTGAGTTTGAATTGGATCCTCCAATGTCTCTCAAATAGTTGTTAGTCTTATATTGTAGCATTTCCTTGTGCTTGTTGTATCACTACATAATGCTTTGCTCTGTTTCGTTTTCTATAAAGTGAGAGAATGCTAGATGTTTTGTAGTCAATTTCATATGCATTTTTGTTTACTCCTAATTAGTAGAAATGGCGGAATCAGGAAAAAAGATATACTGAGACTTGCAGGGAACTAGCAAACTTGCCAAGATAAAGATATATTAACTAAATCACCAGAAGGTGCAGAGCTTGCAGATCAAAAATGTTGAAAAACATATGCTATGAGATTTATCAACTATGTTAGTTTGTTTCCACGCATTTCACAATGTACATAATTGCAACATAGAGATCGTGGTTAATTGATCAATATACATAATGAATTCGATCAGACATCAAATATTAAGTTTACTGAGCTTTCAACCCAAAATCAATTAGCAATAAATGGATTGGGCCAAATCTCTTATATATTAGTCAAGGTCCTTCCCAACTTCCGATAAGAGACATATCTTACATATACTCTTTAGAGATTAAGGCTTCATGACTAATTAATCTCTATATTATCCAATATCAATTCATGCTAAAAGTACTGTATATTGTTTCAGTTTTAGATTTTAGTTTGGTTTGGAGCAAAAGATAATTTAACTTCCATGTAATCATGCCTCAATTTCATCATATATGTCAATCAAACAACAAAGCCTTCTCACAAACAAGCTATACATGCATAGAGAAGCTCAACCGAATCAGAACAATATTGGTATATATGTTTTTTTATCATTAGTTAATCTAAAAATTTAATTTCAATTTTTATAGCTTAATATATTTATGTTACTATTATGTTTATATTTATTTTATTTTATAGTATGTTATATAATATATTTGTCTTTGTTTTCTTAAATATTGTTTTTGTTTTTCAATTGCTCTAAAATATATATTTCTATAATATAAATTATCTTTTCTAATCATATGAGAATTAAGTTGGGCAGTGGTCTAGAGTTATTATAGTTGATTATCTTTTACCCCTTATGCGAATTGACTTAATATACCTTCATAAAATAAATCACATATATAATTATGCAAACTTCTCTCTATCTAGAGTGTTCATATCAACATTTTATTTTATGTTTTATTGGAGGTTTAAGTTTTTTTGGGCTTTCATATCATATTAATTTAAAAGTAAAAAAAAATTACAAACCAAAAATCTGTATAGTCTTTAAAAAATTAATAAGTTAGAATACTAATTTTAATAAAGATCAAAGAAAATATGAAAACATACTTAGAAAACCTATGAACATAATCAAGAAAGAAAAAAAAACCACACAAAAGGTTAAAACAAAACTCACTAAAATTAATAAAAAAATAGATAAACATCAAAACCTATCAACAATATTATTGATAAATACTATGACGAAAAAGAATATACACTTGAATGACTTTAAACTATACTAAAGAGAAACTATAAATTGGGTCTCCCCATGATATTAGTTTAAAAGTAAAAAAATAAAAACTTACAAATTACAAAACTACAGATTTTCTACGAAATAAAAAATCTATTTATAGTTAAAAAAATGTGTGGGATCAATTGTGAAATCATTTTATTGATCTTGCTAAAAATATACAAAATAAAGTTAATTAAATAAAAAAATTTAATATAAAGACTTAAATACTTACGATAATTCATCGTCGGACTGACTTTGATTCGAACACAAATTTTCTGCTTTCATTAGAATTGGACAGCGTCAAGTCCTATAAAACTTCTATATCTATTTATTTTAATAAAATGAAGTTTTTTAAGAAGCATTTTTGATATGCTAATGAAAAAACTTCATCGTCTATAATATTGTTAAAATTTTAACAGCCGTTAAATCAAAACTATGCATTTTAGATTGTAAAAAAACTATATGTGTTTTACAAAATTCTAAATAATTTTAATGAACTCCTCAAGTAAATATGGATACAGAATAAACCCGACAACAATTAAATTTATAAAAATACCTTTTCTATTTACAACTATGTTAAAACCTAAATAATCAACATTAAATTAAATGTATATAATTTTAATAACATAAAAAGATATCAAATTTTTTGTACAATTTGATAAATTATTCTAATTTCTCAAAATTTTACATAAATTAAGTTTTACGAGAAATTTGATGTATATGTCTTCTTCAATCAATTTTTTACAAAAAAATCTCATTATCACACCATTTTAAATTTATCCACCTCAATTTTTACATTCCCAAACTTTTTGACATAATGTTGAATATTCACATTAAATTTATAGTTGAGAGATTTATTCTCTATTTATCTTTATTTAAGGGGTTTTTTCATTAAAATCATTTAGAATTTTGCAAAATACATGTTATTTTCTTACAATCTAAAATGCAAAACTTTAATTTAACAATATTATAGAGAGATGATTTATTTTATTAACAGACTTATTCTAATTGGGAGTTTTTTACAATCCTCTACCTATTAATTGAGAATGTAGTTTAATAAAAATATTGATTTGTTTTAATTTGATTGGTTAAAATCTTTTCTCTATCCTAATTAAATGTGACATGGAAATGATGATGTGTAATGATGATGTAATTGTGACATGACATTTACTAACACATGTGGTTTATGACATGGCAAAAAGATTATTTTTGTGATATTTTCATTAATAAAAAATTTAATTAAATGACAAAATTTAGTATACTAATAACTAAATCTGGAATTATTCACTAGATGTATTACGAATGACCTGATATATTATTATTCATTTATATAGATAATAATAGATGAATTTTGGGATGAACGTGATAATTTTAATACACATATATAAATATATATATTACAATACTATGGATATATTAAATTTACTATAACTCTGTCATGGACCACTGTGACTTTCCATATAGATACACACATATCTATATATATATTATAATACTGTATTCATATGGAATACATGCACATATATTTTTATATACTTCAATAGGCAAAATTATAATAATAAAATCACATTGATCAAATCATTTACCAAATAATTCATACTTTTTGTAAATGCGTGCTCCATTTACTTGCACATATGTTTTCACATACTTTAGTTGGCAAAATTATAATAACAGAATAAAATATTATTGTGATCTTCTGTAGAACATTCAAAATTTAAAAAGATTAGTTTAGTTTAAAAATAATAACAAATATAAATATAAGATTTCGATTTAATAATCCTCTACATTATTTTTTGTAACAAACGTTGAATATCCTAAAAAATCAACGTGCATCTAATGAAAAACCAAAATCATTATCCTATACATTATTTGAAAAGTTTAATATTCATTTAATAAAAACCAAAAAGATCCATATAAACATACGTTCATCCCAGATAACTAATGAAAAAGTTAAATACTCGGATCAATCCATTTATCTAAATCAAATATGGCAAAAATGAAACTTGAAGGTTGTATAGATCACTCCAATCGTGAGTGTAATGAAGCAAGGTTTTATCGCTATACTGAATTTCCAAACAAATGAGTTTGGCATAAAAGATTTAAGAAGTGGCTTCCTCGCAACAGAAAAAACAATGTTTCCTACGATATTAGCCTTCTAGAAGTCTCAGAAGAATATGGTGAGTTTTTCTACCTAAAATGTTGTTAAATGTTCAGAGAAGACCAGTATGTTTTGAAGATATTTTGACAGTAAACAGAGTTTTATATCCAACCTTCGCTGAAACATGTCTTGCAATATGGTTAATTGAAACACTTGATGCTTAAGTGGAGATGATCTTGCAATTATTTGTAGACTCTACTTGATAAAATTATAAGTAGAAAAATCGCACATATGAGTAGATCGAGACCAACAATTACGGAATCTTTGAAGAAATAATGCTTTAAATTGAGGAAGATTATAGAAAGATAAAGAAAATGAAAAGCGTTTGTTCAAAAAAAAAAGTAGAGAAGATAAAATTTGCAGCCTGATCTGCAAATCCGAAGAAAGTAACCAGCTATCTACAGATTTGACCCATTTGACCATCTAAAATAAGCCCGATCATAGAAAATTAATTATTGTGTTTTCAAAATTTAATAATTATTTTTCAAGTCTGTCTCAAAATATAAATGAATTTTTGGTTATAACAAAATATTTAGTTAAAATTAGATCATATTTTACTATTTAATTTAAAGTCTTATAATTCAAAACACTGATTTTGAATTTCATATATTATAAAAAATCAAAATATTTTAAACGGATTTAAATATTATATTTAAATAATTACATTTTTAAAATCGTTCATGTCTGCATATGCGTGCGGACCAATATCTTAGTAAATCTATAAGTGGGGGTTTTCTTCGGTTTATCTTTATTTGAGTGGTTTTTTTTATTAAAAACTCTTTAATAACCTTTTATAATTAAATTCCACGTAAGATTAATTGGGCCGAAAATGTTATATACTGTGCTCGTAAATTACCCAATTATTGTACACCACGTGTATATACCTTGATACATACGAGCCTCGTATAAAACCTATAAAAGAAAAATCTCTTCTGAATCAAAACAACTTTCCAATTTTTCAGTTCCGATCTGCTTATTGACTACTCCTCCTTGAAGAAGAAGAAGAATCCAAAGTTTCTTCAAGCTTCAAAAACCCTATAATCAGATCGTTTTGTTTTTCTGTCTGGTACGGTTTGATCAAGTTGTTCTAGTAAACATTATCGTTCTTCGTCTGTTGGGTTTAAAGCTTAAAAAGTCCTCGAGATCGTCCCCGATCATCTTTCGCTTTTGTTTTTAAGTTTCTCTACTCAATCTGGATTCATCTAGTAATGCTCAGAAGTTTGGATTTAGCTCTGTTTTGAAAGTTTTTTGATGATCTTTCTCTGTGGAGATCTCATCTTTCTGGGTTTTTGAGCTTTGAATTATAAATCGCCAGTTTAAAATTCGGATTCGAACATCTAACGGGATTCTGAAATTCGAGAAGAGAAAAAATACAGTTACCTTTTGCTGTGTTTATTTATGCCCATAAGGTTTTCGATGATTTGCCTCAATGGCTTCTTCTGTTATCACTGGTGAATATTCTTGAAGCTACTTAATAAAGTTTGATTTTGTGGCAGTGGAGATGAACGGAGATAATTCTAGCTTCGAGCAGTGGTACCGTTGTTACCCAGTCACATTCATTGACAAGGTCAATTTTTTTTCTTTTATCAAATCATATTGCTTGATCTCTCTGAATGTTTAATTTATAAAGAAGAAAAAAGATTCTAATTCCAGACATTTTTTAAATTACAGGCTCATCTTGAGAAGGGTGACAAAAGTAACTTTTCTCTCTTCCCCTTTAGTCTCTAAGATAAGACTTTGTTTCGATATATCTTTTTGGCTGAATGTATATCTGTGATCTTTTGTAGTTATCATGCCTCCTTCTGCTCTCAATCGTCTTGGTAAAGTCATTAGTACACTGCATCAATTCTACCAATATCGTTTCAGTATCTCTTTACTTTTTGTTTGAACTTTGGTCTTATTCTCTCAGCTTCTTTGCATATTGAATACCCAATGCTGTTTCAACTGAGTAATGATTCTACTGAGAAGACTACGCATTGCGGAGTACTTGAATTCACAGCAGACGAAGGCCTAGTTTACTTGCCGTATTGGGTATATATATACTTAGTTTTCATCACTCGTTCGTCTTTTGTTTTCTCTTTTCTTGAATCTCTGATCTTTGTGTTTTGTTGGCAGATGATGCAAAACATGTCTCTTCAAGAAGGCGACATTGTCAAAATCAGGAACACAAGCTTGGTGAAAGGGACTTTCATCAAGCTTCAGCCTCACACACAAGATTTCTTGGACATTTCAAACCCGAAAGCCATGTTTGTTCCCTAACTGAATCTTTGTTTTTTGGTTTTTGTTTTGGAAAGAATCTCTTTTTCTGATTTACAATTCCTAATTTGCTTGCTGCAGCTTGGAGACGACGCTTAGGAGCTACTCTTGCTTAACCAAGGGTGATACGATCATGGTTCCTTATAACAACAAGCAGTATTTCATCAATGTGGTTGATGCAAAACCTTCTTCAGCTGTGAGTATCATAGAAACGGATTGTGAGGTTGATTTCGCTCCTCCTCTTGATTACAAGGAACCTGAGAAGCCACAACAGCTTACTCCTTCGAACAAACGATCTCGCAAAGGTTCTTTCTTTGAGTTTCTTTACGAAAGTTCTCTATTGGGTATCGATTTTGTTCTTCATTGAGTTTATTTTTTTCTCTGTTGATTCTTGCAGTTGAGGAAGAGGAACCAATAAGCAAAGTTCCTAAATTCACACCGTTTACTGGATCGGGAAAACGTTTGGATGGAAAAACACAGACAATATCAACTGAAGAAGAAGAAAAGCCAAGTGAGAATGGCAAAGACGATGAGAAGTTGTCAAGCAACACGCCACGACAAAAGACAGGGAAGCTTGTCTTTGGTTCAAACAGCAAAACAACTGCGAAAGAAACTGTAAAGGTAAAATTGTTGTCTCTTACTCTTGATTTTGTTTTTCAAGCCATGTGATCCAGTTTATTCATCCGTTAATCTATTATAAACATAACTCTAATTGTGTTGTATGGCTTCTAAAAATGTAAAGGTTGATCCAAAGAACATCGAGCAACAGAGTTCTACAAAAGCAGATGAATCTAAGTTTCAAGTGTTCACTGGGAAGAAGTACTCACTCAAGGGTTAAGCAGAAAAAGCAGAGTTTAAAATTTAAATCACCTGCTTAAGTAAAATTTATTCGTTTTAAGCATTCATTCATATATTATCTCACCATTGAGATGAGTTCTGGCTTCCCCAAGGAACATCGTTTTTGGTTGTTTATATCTTCCTTATCTGATACATTTGAACAAAATTCAGATATTTCGACTACAGTTCTAATTTTTTTTTCAATTAAGCTACACAGCTTTTGATTGGGACTTGGGATCATTAGAACACGTATTTCAGAGTAAAATTCTGATGTTTTGTAAAAATAACAATATCATCATCAGTCATTTATTACAAAACACACAAACAGAAGGAAACAATTTACTTAAAAAAAATCTTATTAGAAGAAATAATTTAGAAAACAAAATTATTCATTGCTAACAAGTTTCTCATCACTAAAAACATTGTCAAACAAAACAGTGTTTTTTGTTTTCATTTTTCGTAATTGTTCTGGCATTCTTTAATTTAGATTTACAATTTGACAATGAAGCCGCCGCACTCTCCCCTTAAATCGGAACCACCTGAGGTTCAAGCGGCGGAGGAGCTCCTTCATCCACCACAGGAGGCGTAACCGTCGACGTGGCAGACTCCTTCTCACTCTCTTCCCACCCAGACTTGAACCGGTCATAATTAGTCATCTCCGCCGATTTAAACGGACGTTCACCCAAAACTTTCAAAAGATCCTCCTGATGCAACACTTCCTTCTCCAGCAAAAGCTCAGCGATCTGAGCCACTTGCTCTTTGTGTTCAGTAATCAGCTCCACTGTCTTCTCATAAGCTTTGCTCACCCAATCCCTAACCTCCTGGTCTATAATCGCTCCGGTTTTGTTGCTATACGGTTTAGAGAAGTCGTACCCATCGTCCCTAGGCGGGAACGAGAGCAGTCCAACTTTATCGCTGAAACCGTAGACAGCGACTTGCGCGTAAGTCATCTTCGTCACTTTCTCAAGATCGTTCTGAGCACCCGTCGAGATTCTCCCTATCAATACCTACGTTGCAAGAAAAGGACCAAGAAACTTATAACTTCCTGAAACCTAAACTCGTCGTGTGTTAGAAGTAAAGCCAACTAGGCTAAGTTTACCTGCTCGGCTGCACGGCCACCTAGGGTCATACAGGTCATGTCGAAGAGCTGCTCTTTCGTCATCAGAAGGTTTTCGTTCGGAACGTACTGAGCAAACCCTAGCGCCGCCGTGCCACGTGGCACGATGGTCACCTTCAGCAACGGCTCGGCGTGTTCAAGGAACCACCCAGCAACCGCGTGACCAGACTCGTGATACGCGACTGTACGACGCTCCAATTTGCTAATCACCTGTGTTCCATAATCAATACTCAAAACATTCAGATTCACATTTTCTCAAATTCTTTTGGAAAAAAAGCCGAGAGAGAGCATTTGTTTACTCTGTTTTTCTTCTCAAGACCACCAATAACACGATCGATCGCAGATTCGAAATGCGCCATTGTCACCGTAGCTCCTTCGTGTCTCGCGGCGATAAGAGCCGCCTCGTTACAGACATTCGCGATATCAGCTCCGGCGAATCCGGGAGTGAGAGCAGCGAGTCTCTGAGAGAAATACGACGGCTCGTGGTCGAGTTTGATCTTCTTCAGGTAAATCCTGAAAATCTGATCACGGCCTTTGATATCCGGTTTATCAATGGTTATCTGTCGATCAAACCGGCCAGGCCGTAACAGAGCTTTATCCAAAATATCCGGTCTGTTCGTACCGGCGAGAACCACGACACCCGCGGTTGTACCAAACCCGTCCATTTCAACCAACAACTGATTCAGAGTGCTCTCGCGCTCGTCGTTGCCGCCTAAACCACCGCGTCCTCTCGCCCGTCCGATCGCGTCGATCTCGTCTATGAAGATAATAGACGGCGCAGATTGTCTAGCCTCCTGGAACAAATGTCTCACCCTCGACGGTCCAACACCAACGAACATCTCCATGAAATCTGAACCGGAGATCGACAGAAACGGCACACCGGATTCTCCCGCGGTGGCTTTCGCCAAGAGGGTCTTCCCGGTTCCAGGAGGACCGACCAAAAGCGCGCCTTTCGGGATTTTCGCGCCCAAATCTTCATACTTTTTAGGGTTCTTGAGGAAATGAACAAACTCCATGATCTCTTGTTTAGCCTCCTCACATCCAGCCACATCCTTGAAGTAAATCTGACAAAAGAAAACAAGAGAAAAAAGGTGAATCTTGCAAGGAAAACAACAAAAGCAAGAATCAGTTTTCAAATTAAAGAAAGGCGAAAATGCTAACCTTGTTCTTGGAGTGTTTATCGGCTCTTGTGATTGTGGCTTTGCCTATATTGAAGATCCCACGGCCATTTTTCCCGCCGGTTCCTCCTACACCCAAACCGCCTTGCATCCGTCTCGCGCCATAGAGAAGAGTAGCCAAGAGAAGCATCGTGGGCGCAAACCTCAGGAGCTCTTGGTACCAGACCATCTCAGAGACGTATGTGACGGGAACAAACTCGTGGGGATCAACGCCTAACGCTTCTTGAGCTTCTTCGAGCTTCTCCTCGAAAGAGTCGACACTACCGATGTTGAAGTAGTACTTGTACTGACCACCGGCTTTTTTGGCAGGGGACGAGATTCCGGTACCGTTGCCGTGGTCAACGACGTCTTGAGGTTTCGGTGTGCTCCTCACGTAGACTTTGGCCACGGATTTGTTTAAGACGTCAATGTGGTCAACAAGACCAGGCTCGAGAAGCTTGTTTTTGAACTCTTGGAAACTAATCTGAAACCAAGAGAAGGATATTGGTGATGAGCAGGGCCCAAAATAGACAAAGGTGAGAGTTTAGTTTAAGTAATGCTTTGCCTGTTCCTCGTCTGCAGAGGCAAATAAGATAGGAGTAAAGAACATAGCAAAAGCGATCATTGGAATTATCCAATTTTGGAAACGGTTCAAGAACATATCTCCAAAGTTCTCGTTTTCATTATTCTCTGATGAACCCTCTGTATTGCAACAACAAAAAAAAAAACATATTTTTAATTATTAGAATCCATTCAGTAGCACCAACAGGTCTCAGAACAAGAAAACTGAAAAAAAAAACAATTGATGCTATTAATTTATAAATTCCATTTTAATCTCAAAAACAATCAATAGATCTCAGAATTTTCTTGATTAACCATCTTATTGAGTTTAAACAGTTGACAAATTCAACAATCCAACAAACAAAACTCAGCGGTCTATTCACTTTCCTCCACAAACCAAAAGCATATCTTACTAGTTAAATGAATGTAACACCAAAGAATCGCTACCTTGGCATAAACCGATTAAACCATTATCAATAAAAAAGTTCAAAACTTTTACCAAAACTCCATAGCTTTCTCACACATGAGACATGATCCTTATCGATACTAAAACGTAAAAGCCAAACACTTTACACCGCGAACCAAAAGCATATCTTACTAGTTAACAGAATGTAATACCAAAGAGAATAAACGCTATCTCAGGTATAAACCGACAAACCATCTTCGATAACAAAGCTTAAAGCTTTAAATAACCTCAAAAGGCTTTCTCACACACGAGACATCATACGATGCTAAAACGCAAAACCAAAACACTTCAAGGACAAATTCAACAATCCAACATACAAAACTCGGTGATCTATTCACTTTCCTCTGTATACACATTTCGTTGGAGTCAAGGATAAGAAACAAATGAAGAGCCAAACGAGGAAAAAAAACGTCACACCAAACACCAAAGAGAAAGCTCAAAGCTTTTCCTAACATCCAAAGCAAAACACACTACGAGATTTCTTAAATCTGTTCACCTTTAGACTCTGATTTCTGGTCACTCTTGGGTTCTTGCTTTGTGTCTTTAGGAACGTAGTTCTCATAATCTGCAAAACCGATAGATGCAGACAACAAAACACACTAATGAGAACGAACACGGTAACTATGATTCAGTAAAACCCTTGAAAATATAAAATTTATGGGTTTTTTCTTTTCTTTTGCTACATACTCTTCTTCTTCGGGGCTTCGTCGGAGAAGAATCGACGAAGTCTCGGATTAGCGAAAACACCGGTTAAATCACTGCTGATAAATCCCTTTCGAGCAGTTAACGAAGCAAAGTGCCGTCTCAGAAACCCTAATCCACCTTCAACTTGATTAACGGACGCCGCCTCAATAGCCGGCGGAGCAAGCAGCCTCGCCGATCTCACACCACCACCGTACAGAAACCCCTAAAGAACCAAAAATCAGGACGGAGAGAAAAAGAAAAAAATGCACAAATTAGGACGAATCTGAGAAGAAATCGACAAACGGAAAACGGACCTTAGAACGAGTGATGGAACGGCCAAGCTTGGAGAAGATCATCGTCATTAATAAATCACTACGAACAGAAGGGATCACGCATAATATTCAGAAAATGGCGAATCGAAGATCTGAAGAAGCTGAAAATGTCAATTTTTTTGTTTTTTTCTTGCGAAATCGAATCAAATGGGGAAGGAAGGAAAAAAAAAAAAAACAAGATAAGAAGTGAATTAGGGTTTCTGATTGCAAGGGGAAGATAAAGTTTGGGTTTTTTAAATGATGGAGACTGGAGAGAGAAATAGGCAAAGAGGGTTTATGAACTGCTTGGCAGAAAAGACATATACGTTCTTTGATGTTATTGTTCTGTCGAAATGGATGGATTATCCTGAACCAGACTTTGATTTCCAGAATCTACTTGTGTTTATCGGTTTAAACAAACCAGTTCTTGGTTTTCGAATCTCAAACCGATTTCCAAAACAGAAATTTGGTGATTAGAGAGCCTTAATTCTCATACTTGACTGCAGGTGTGGCCCAATTTTATACATTTGGGCCTTGGAGAACATGTCGGCTCAGATTGTCAAATGTTGAAAACAAAAGTGAAACAGATTTCTCTTCTTATTAAAAGAATGAATGCTCTTTCAACTTTCAGCATTCTTTAGATGGCACAGTAAATGTTGTAGTGTGTAGTGTGTAACAAGGTAATGGCGTGACTTTAAGAACATCTCCATCGAAATATCTAAACAGAATATCGTTTCTCAAACAAATTTTTTTAAAACGTCTCTTACACTTCAAATGATAATTATTTTTTTTCTTTTAAATTCTTTTGTTAAGATACGTTGAAAAGTCACTCGTCTCCATCGATAGAGATACTCTAATACTCTTTAAACCGATATTGGATTTTTCACAACTCTGTTTTCTTGCATAGAAGTAACACAATGTCTTTAGTTCAGATACATTGAAAATAATCTGATTTTTATAATGAGTCTTCGCTATGTAGTTAAAATATTTTCAGTATTCAATATCCAGTTAGACCATCTCTAATGGAGAGAGAGGTTTTAAAAATTAAAAAAAATAATAATTAAAAATAATCAAAGAGAAGAAAGATAGAAACAGGTTTTTTAGTGAGAAGTTTTAGAAACGGGTTCTCATCTTTTTAGATGATATGTTAACATTTTATTTGTTCAATTTTTTGTTTTTAAAAATTATTTTTATTTTTTAATTATATTGATAAAAAAATTGTTTAGAGACTCCAAATAAGAGATTTATGGTTGGGGCTGCTCTTAGAGCTGTTAAAATGAACGGATTGTTCAACTGTCCGCGGCTAACATATTATGGATCGGTCATAGACAAACCCATATACGAAGTGAGTTTAAGTTATCAATGTTCAATTTTGCCCTTAGATAAAATGGATTGACAATATAAATATTGGATGGCCCGCCCAAATTACTTTCTCCAATTACATAAGATTTTTTTGGGTGATAATTTATTTACAAAAGAAAACTGGAAAAATTAGAAGTCAATTTAGAAATGAGATAGTCTTCAAAGTTAAAGAAAAAAAATTATCTAGTAATGGAGCAACTAGAGAATCATGTCATGCTGGTACTATAAACTCTTCCACATCCCATCTGCAAATTAAAAGTTAAAACCCAAACTTCATGAATGTATTACCCGTCATGTAATTTTCTATGATGTTTAACTCTTCATGCATTTTTAATATTTCTAGGTGAAACGCAACCATATGGATATGTTGATTAAGATGTGGACATATCGGTCCATGTTTCTCAAATCGGATTTTGTTAAACCAGATTTCACTAAATCATAGTCAAAACTTACCGGAACCACCTGCGGTTCAAGCGGGCGAGGAGCTCCTTCATCCACCTTTGTGGACGTGGGAGACTCCTCCTTCTCACTCTCTTCAAACCCAGATGTGAACCGGTCATCATTAGTCACCTCGACTGATTTAAACGGACGTTCACCCAAAACTTTCAAAAGTTCATCTTGATGCAAGTGCAACAGTTCTTTCTCAAGTAAAAGCTGGTATAAGACTCGGATGACCGGGTCTTATGGATGAGAATGAACGTGCTGGCTTTAGACTCTCTCACGTTGATTCAAAGAATGATGAATATTGGGGGATCGAGGGCACCACAGAGAATATGAAAGGATCTCTGATACAGCTAAAACACTTGTAACTTTGGTGAATCACACACACAAAGGACAAGCGAAAACTCAAGACTTTAACTTGAAGAAGAACTGCCGATTTTATTGATAACGGGTAAAAAGTTGTGTCTACAGTGTCGCATATGGAGCTTTATTAATAGCTCTTCGATCTTGACCTTCTAGGGTCTAAAAATAAAAGAAAAACTAAAGCAAAAATACAAGAAAATAACAAAGATTACATCGGCTTTAATGAAAAAGTACTAAAAGAAACTAATGTTCATTCTCTGCAAAAAGAAAGAAAAACACGAATATAGTGAATTAATTGACAAGCTTACCATTGCCTCTTGATCCTTTGGTGTGAAAAAGGTAAGTTGTCTTTGGCCGCCAACCATCTAAGTGTCGCTGTTTTGGAGTGGGTCGATGATGAACAAGTTTGGGCCGGTTGTTCCCTTGAGTAATGGCCACTCGTTGTAGCTTGGGTCTCCCTTAAGCTTAGTTGGGTCTTGAAGCTCTTGAATGTCGTCTAAACCTTGTCAAAATGATCAGTCTAGAGGAAGTGTCCGTACAGATGAGAATCGTGGCATACAAGGAAGGGGTTTACACTAAGAAGGCAAGAGTAGTGTACAAGGAAGCAACGGTCAAATACAAGAAGAATACATGCCTTAGTCAATAAACACCAACGGTCACATGTCTAAGGAAGCAAGGAAGATAAGATCACATGTCTGGTTTAAGCTTATGAACGTTGGGGATCCCTAGGAGCTGTCACTTTCACCGTGAGGACCATCACCAATTGTTTATTCTTTGTGTCCCTTTCCCTTGTAGCCGTTATACACAAGGTCTATATCTATAAATAGACCCTTATCAACATTTGTAATGGTTAACTTAAGGAATAATAATCATCATTAACTCTTTTCTCTTGTTCTTCATGTTTTTCACTCATTTCTCCTCTTTACTCTAAACTTCCGCAAATAATTCCAACATGGTATCAGAGTGGTTTGTAGATCTTTGGACTACAACCTTTTGATTCTCATCACTCTCCTCTTGATTTCATCTCTCGGTTTTCACTCCTTCAAAACTCCAGAAAATCCTTAATCTTTACCCAACGGTCCATAGCTCTCAATCACCCTTCTTTGCTTTAAATCACTCCTAAACACTCTCTAAACCGCCCCAACCACTCTCATTCCACCATACTCTCATTCGCTCACCTTCTAATCATCTCTAATTTACCATCCAAAACCGTTTACCCAACGGTTCCTTGCTTTGCCCAACGGTCCATAGTATCTTAAACATGGCCTTGGAGAACAACAAGCCATTGGCTTTACCAGTGACCCTCAAAGGGGTGAACTACTTGCTGTGGTCAAGAACCACAAGAACCGCCTTGTGTGGAAGAGGTCTTTGGAGTCATGTGTCAAGCGATGCTCCTAGAGCAGCACCACCAGCCGCCGGAGCCGTCATTGTCCCAGCCGAAGAGACCCAATGGTACAAGGAAGATCAGACCGTTCTTGCTCTTCTACAAAGCTCCCTTAGCAATGAAATCTTGGAGGCTTACTCATACTGTGAAACCGCCAAAGAGCTATGGGGGACTCTGAAGCAAGTATTCGGCAACATCTCCAATCTCAGCCGTGTATTTGAAGTCAAGAAGGCTATCAATGAGCTAAGGCAAGAAGATATGGAGTTTACTAAACATTTTGGAAGATTCAGAGCACTATGGGCAGAACTGGAGATGCTAAGGCCAAGCACAGTTGACCCTCAAGTCCTGAACGACAGAAGAGAGCAAGACAAAGTCTTTGGCCTGCTAATGACCCTCAGCTCAACTTACAATGACCTCATCAAGCACCTCCTTAGAGCAGAACGGTTGCCAACCCTTGAAGAAGTGTGTTCTCAAATCCAAAAGGAGCAAGGATCACTCGGCTTATTTGGAGGAAAGGGGGAACTTGTCTCAGCCAACAAGGGCGATTACCAGTTTGAAGAAAGGAGGAGCTCATTCTGCGAGCATTGCAAGAAAAAGGGGCATGTTAAAGACAAGTGCTGGATCCTTCACCCACATCTCAAGCCTAGCAAGTGGAAGGAAGGGAAGGCTAGCTATGCCGCCGAGAATACCACTCATAAGGGCGAATCATCTAAGACAACCGCTGGAGAAGAAGGAGCAGCTAACTCCTCTCAATTCGTGAAAAAATTAGACCTAGATGCACTGATCAAAGCGCTTAAGGAATCTGGTAACACTCTTGGTACCTCCTTTCATGTAATGAAGCACTATGGTAACTCTTATAGTTCTTCATATACTCTTAGGACTAAACTATTGATTGTAGATTCAGGCGCTTCACATCATATGATTAGTGACTTAAATCTGATTAGTAACCTAAAGCCAACAGTAGGAAATGTTGAGATTGCTAATGGAGAAAAGGTGCCTATTAAAGGCATAGGAGATTTAAAACTCTTTGATAGATCATCTAAAGCGTTTTATATGCCAACTTTTACCTCTAATTTGTTATCTGTTAAGAAAGCTACAACTGATTTAGATTGTATTGCTATCTTTGGACCTAATGATGTGTGTTTTCAGGATATTAAAACCAACAGAATGCTTGGAAAAGGGACTACTAAGGATGATCTCTATGTTCTTGAAGACACTAAGTTTTTATCTTCTAATAATGTTGTAGCTTCTGCTAATAATGCAATTTGGCATGCTAGATTAGGTCATCCTCATGCTCGTGCATTGAGTCTTTTGTTACCTAAAGTTAGTTTTAAAAATGATGAATGTGAGGCTTGTATCTTAGGAAAACATTGTAGGACTGTGTTTCCCAAGTCATCTACTATCTATGAAAAATGTTTTGATTTAGTGCATTCAGATGTTTGGTCATCCCCATGTGAATCTAGAGATCAAAACAAATATTTTGTCACTTTTATAGATGAAAAATCTAAGTATACTTGGGTAACTCTCCTTCCATCCAAGGATAGAGTCTTTGAGGCATTTAAAAATTTTCAAAAATCATATCACTAACCATTTTAATGCCAAGATTAAGATCTTTAGATCAGATAATAGAGGCGAATACACAAGCAATGTTTTCAGAGAACATCTCACTTCACATGGAATCATTCATCAAACTAGCTGCCCCTACACGCCTCAACAGAATGGTGTCGCTGAGAGGAAAAACAGACATCTAATGGAGGTGGCGAGATCCATGATGTTTCAACATAATGTACCAAAGCGGTTTTGGGGCGATGCTGTTCTTACAGCTTGCTACTTGATCAACCGAATTCCTACCAAAGTTCTCCATGACTCCT